AGAAGTACGAGCGTACATGATACTTGCCCTCAGCGTGCTCAGTCACGAGCATTGCACGGATGTTGTTGCCCGTTGTTTCCGCAGGGATGCCGTTGTAAAAGCCCAGTAAGATTGCAAAGGATCGAGGACACTGAGTTTGGGTCGAGGCTACACTGCTATCGTGCGAAGTGGCCAAGTCAGCACTGATGGTCCAAGTTGATCCATCGACTGCTCTGAGTTGCGCAGGATGTGCGGGATGATCATATAGCGAGTCTGTTGACAATGTAGTCTCTGTGTGGGCAGGTAGCACACGAACAGCCAGCGCATCAAATGTGTGGTACCCATTCTCCTCCATCGATCCCTTAGGGTGTGGACATAGTCCTACCTGATTAGGATAGATGGCTTCTATAAACCTCACCGCCTCCTGTTCGCCGCCAGGAAGGTCAAAGAGTGCTTTACCAGCAACGGACGTCTTTGGGAACGCAGGAAATGTCGAGAGAAATGGGCATGGCGGTAGGTATACTGATATGCCGAGCCAACTTGCACTACGACCCTGGCGAAGGATCTCCCGTGCGAGCACGATGGTTGCGCCGATACGATCATCTTCCGGAAACTCTCTCAGATCTAATGACACTCCGAGTATGCCCATGATGCTGAGAACCATGTCAAGCGGGCGCGAGGAAGTGCGTAAAAGGGCGCATAGCCAGACGGAGAAGTCACGCATCTCTTCTGTGTACATGCGGAAATTTGTGACCATGGCAAAGCTGAGCGCTGAAACATGTGGCAGGAGAAATGCGGGCTGTGTTCGTGTGGTGCAACACACTTGGGTCGGATGGTTGCTTTCCGAACAATGCTGCTTCTATGAGGAGATGCGATGCTGTTTCATCCGCGGCATTGTCAGGAGCGATCCATTGAAAGGATCCGGACGTGCATGCACTGAGCGCGCAGTCCAACGGCATCATGGCTGACCGCTGAGGAGTGACCACCTCCAACATTCTGTGCTCTGTACCGTCTGGGCCCTTTACGTGTACCTCGCCGTGCCCATGTGACCAAGAAAAGAGGACGGCGACCGATGGAGGGGCGATTACCTCCTGCAGCGTCCAGCCTCGGTGGATCCATTGTGTTTCTTCGCTGAATGGGACGAGGAAGCGCAGTCCGCCGGGAACAACCACGCATACAGTGGCAAAGCAATACAGTCGGTACATTTCGCGAATCTGCCACCACTTATCTTGCTTGTTCGTCTGCATAATGCATAGACGGTCCAGCCAGAGATGCGAGGCTCCACATGCGAGTGATGCTGCACACGCGTCATGAAGAACGTCCAGGCCAATCGGATCTGCATCCTCTGCGCCTCGAACAGAGAACTCTTGACTGGTATCGCTGTTCGCTAAGCTGTTGCCGCGCCACACATAGGAGATTGCTGCATATATAACGCGCGGAAACTCGGTGAATTCTTCGATACGCAGCACACGATTGGAGGCTACTTCTGTGCAATCCACAAGACGATATCTCTCGGGAGTAGCAGTAGAAGTGATGTCCAAAGGCGTATCTCGCTGTAATAACTCATCGAAGGAGACGCTGCAGATCTCTTTGTATGTCTGATCCTGTAAGTAATCGATTCGTCAACCGTAACATCCTTGTGAGAAAGGTATCTGACGTACTGATGTGGCAGTGGTATAACCATCCGCCTGATGAGCTGATAGCAAGCCATGAATGTCCTTAGTTTCATCGGATATACTTTTCGGGCTACCGGGAAAAAAGGGCAGCGAACGGATTGCCTGCCGTCGAGCTTCGGTGTCTGCAGAATAAGGCATTGAGATCGGTCTGCAAGAGTCGTCGAGTCTGTGAGGGATTGGCAAGATATGTTTATGTAATAATGCAGTTTTATCTGAAGGTGGAGGTAAGTGAGAAGGAAAACGAAGTCGATTCCTCTTTTGGAGGGATGCGGTCGAGGAAGCTTCCTCTTTTGCCGAAACCACCATGTCCAATCCTCTACGCCCAGTGCTTGCTACGTTGATTCTCTGGCGAAATAGTCATCACTTGTGACAGATCAACGGTCTTGGTATCAACGATCTCGAGGTGCAGAGTGTAGGTACGCGTTATCCTGCCTTGCTCCGGTTCGCTCTGCTGAAATGTCGTCTTGCAGTATCGGTTACAGAAGGGGATGAACTCGTCATTTTTGGATCCTTTGGCGTCACTCGTTTCAGCCAGTAGAGCTTCGATAACGTTGGGGGAATCATGACAGGAAGGGCTGAGTAGTCGTTGAGGGGTTGATGGATATGAGAAGCTGGTGAACTTTGGCTGTCTGGTACGCGGTATGCTGCAATCGCGAATATTTTGAGTGCTGATTCGTCTTAAGACACTCGTACTTCTGTATCGACATAGAAATCACTGACTTAGCCTTTCCACTACAAAAATGCAAACTCGGGAAGATCATACTCAAAGTCCCAAAGAATCGCAGCTCCATGGATAGAGAAAACGTCATCATGGCATGTGCGTTGGTTGAGAGTGATAGCTGCCATATGATGTCGACGGCCGTAACCTTATACTCTGCACACGACCTCGGAGCGTGCTCGAAAGGAAACACCTTGACAATATTGGCGACTGCGTGGCTTTCCTGGCTGGATGACGAATGAAACACACTGTTGGAGCCATCCCGTCTGAACAAAGGTTAGTCGTTATCATGATGGAAAGAAGGATAATACGCTAACTGTGACCCTCAATTTTATAGTACTTGCCCACCCTCTAGACCGACATCCAAGCGGTCGGCTCGCGTTTTACACCCTTTCCAGTGCTGGGTTCACCTCACATTCGCGTCATGTTCCCTTGCGAATGTGCACCTGCTCGTTTCGTGGATACGATAGGAGGTTAGCGCCGGAAATGGTATGCCAACTGGTAACGATTATGTGATGGTTTTTGGCAGTTCCAAAACGAAATCCTTTTTAACTGGAGACGCGGATCCTGCGCTGTTCGAGATACGTGAGACTGGGACAACGAAGGTATACGACGGTGCTCGAACGCTACGGTTGAGTCTGAGGCTGTATTAGATATGTTAGGTAAACAACTCGGCGATAAGAACCGCGATACTCACCTGATTCGGGGCTCGACGGGGATTTCTCAGTGACGCGAATCCTGGCTGGTCCATACATTCAGCAGCGAATTCGAAGACTCCTGCATAGTGTAGTGAGGTACGGATAAGATGAGGGTGGTGTCGTGGTGAGAGGAAAGGCCTGGACCATTGTCCGATACTACTGGCATGATCACCATCCGCGTTACCCTCGAAACAATGTTGCATCCACTAAGCGTCCCACTGTTCTAAAGGATTCCCACTGGTTAGTTTTCTCCGACTTTCGATGTACCCCTACATCAGGACTTGTTGGGCAAGCAGGAATCGCATTACCGAGGATTGCCGTCGAGCATTCTTCGACTCAACAGGTGAGTGTATCGCAAATTTTGTCACTATGAGTTGTCTGACCATAGCGCCTAGTCCAGATATCGCCCTCATACCTCGACTTCAATCGTGTCAACTCACTGCCCCAGTCTCGCGTCTCTCTGGATTCACTGAGCGTCTACAAATCTCTCGTGTTTGAAGGATCCGCGGCAGCAGTGGTTGTGGATGCACCACTTGGAGACATATTGTCCTGTGAGTCCATCGTGTCATCTGTCATTCTGCACTGTCTGACTGTAGTGGGGTTATCTTTGCCGCGTCCGTAGCCCAGTCCAGGTCCCGTTCCCTCGCCTATAATCTGCATACCCAATCCTAGCCTTCAAGCGTCCGGATCGCTCGCAGCTTGTTCTTTTGCTGCAAGTCCACGTACCTGTTCGCTACCTGTCGAAGATATCTTGATATCGATTCGCCAGCCACCATTAAACTCGTGCGGGAAACGTCGACAGGGTTTTTCCACCCAATCGTGCGTTATTCTCCTTGCACACTCTTGCTTTATGCTCATGTGCGAGGATAGGTTGAATTCGAAAGCGCGAACCGATCCTTAAGCACCCAAAAAATGATAGACGGGGGACGCAGACGATGTGAAGGAGGAGATCAACTGGATGTTGTTATCTAAAGGGACTGTAGGGGTATTGAAGCGCTCGGCCGTCGATGATTGCAATCCAATGTACGCTGCCTTTGCAGATATTGAAATAAAGCTCACACAAGACCCCAGTCCCGTTTCTAGACAAGTGCCGGCAAGACATTAGTAGTCGTTCTATCCAGGCTATCTCTTGAATCTTCTGAGTTCGCATTCCAAAATGGCATATCGACTCGCAAAGGCAAAATTTGACAAGATATAACTTCGAATTTATTATAATGCGGAGAAAAATGAACACTCTCTCGCTTATAAATCGGATACGAGGAATCGAACCTCGCGTTGGGATGTTAGCCGTTACACCTATCCGAGCCGTAGTAGGTCCCGAACTTTGACGTATACCACCACAATTTGGCTCTCAAACCTCAAATCCACTCGAACAGAGTCCGCCGGCCTTACCACCACGTTCAAGTTGTATGTAGGCATAAACATTCGAATCCTATCTGGTAGATTCGCGTCACTGGAGGAATTGGACGTATTCACGAGGCAAACTAGAAGCTTGTTTGCCGTTCTGAAGTACTTTCCACTATACTTACATGATCTGCTTTATATCCTTTTCTATATCAGCGCAATTGACAACAACTAGTATCTCCACATATCAGCATGGAGAAAGGCACTCGGAGGGCTCAATTCAGCAACTGAGATATCAAAACAATTCAAAGGAGTCCAGGTTGTACATAAAATGCCCGTTTGTTCGTAATATAATTTTAAGATGTCGTGCAAATGCCGCCGGCTCTGTGCAAGGAGAAGGGAGGCCAACCCGAGATGTATGGACTCTTGCGTCCGTTTCAACGGAGAACTAGCACAAAGCAAAGGAAAAAACTTAACGTAACAGGCATGCTTCAAGAATTGATTATTGAAATCTGGTAACTTACGATGGCAATGGCATGCCCGATTGTCGGGCGAGTCAAAAACTATTGAGCTAATATCCCTTAGTTCGGATACGGGGAACCGAAGTATCGAACCCCGAGCTGCCGCGAATAACATTCAGACATGCTATCATGAGAGGCGGCAATGTTAGCCGTTACACCATATCCGAATACATGTGTGTATGCTGACTTACCTCTTATCTATATAGTATAATAGTCACCAAGCGCAGGCTTCATGCTCATCTTCATGCTACAACTGTCTTCGATTTGAGAGTCTGCCTAGGGGAGACTAGTACTATGCTAGTCCGGGTGACACTTTCGCTATGGGAGAAAATTGTGTGGTGTATGCTGCGACGATGGTTTGATTTCTATGTAGGACACTGCACCAACAAACTCGCCTACTTTAGCCACCAAGGGAGCCCCACAAATTATCAGACTCATGACGCTAACTCTGACTCTGAACATGGATAAATGGGACATCTTTGTCTTTTGTGAACTCTCTTTCCTGTCTTTAGTGTTGATTTCTTCAAAGGACAAAGCTTCACCCCACAAATATGGAGACGCCCACTTGTTGATTAAGATCATGCTCGAACAGATTTCCATGCAAAATTTGTCTCTGGTACTGTGACTTCCATGTCCTCCCTGCCGTTTTCACTTGTACATGTCCACAGGCTGAGGCTTATCATTCCCGCTGTCATGCCTGCAGCGTGTCTAAGCATGTAATTTTGCAAAAATCAATAAATTACCTTTAGGCACTGTGTAAGCTTAGAGAGCTCACTGACAGTGCAAGCGGCACGAGAAGGAGCAAGGTCACTGAGTCAGAATACCCTTCTGTTAGAAAAAGAAGCCATGGAATTAAAACATAGGACTTTGTCGCTGCACTGTACCTCATGGGCAGGCACGGCAATAAGGCCGACTTAGCGAGCTCGCTTGCAATGACATCCGTTGGCACTAGGGAATTAGGCTTGGTGGGACGTGCTTGTACTCGGGCCAAAGCTAATTTAGATAACTACGCGTTGATAAGCAATGACGCATAGGCCCTGGAGATCCGGAGAAATGATACCACGCGAGAGATAATCAAGAGAACCACCGGGCATGGTCTGGAAACAGATATGGACCGACGAGATTAGCGAGCAGACCAGAATTCCGATGCGTCTCTTGGTTACCGTGTCTAGACTATGACACTGTCACCTTCGGAGCAGAACAGAGAACCAAGAATGACATGTGATCAATGATCGCACATTATACAGCTATTGAGTGCTAGCCCGCGGGCAGCCACTGCTGTCAGGCGAGCGATGTCAGCACTGCCCAGTCCTTTGAGACTACCAAACAGAGAGAAAGTGGCGCTCTGCCAAGAGGGCTGTGACGTTTCAGACGAGGGATTATCAGCCGACGCAAAAGTATTTTACTAATAACCAGTTTGTAACAATCATTCTCTCGTAGTATAAGTAGGATAGATTTTCATGTATTAGAACAAGCTACCTACCCCCCACGTACAGTAATAAAGTTTCAGTCTGAATCTGGACTTGTTGCGACGCGTAAGAGTTAGTAACTTCGAGTCTCGGCTATACCAGAGAGTTAGCGAGCTCACTAGAGAAATTGAAAACAGAGATACATTTTGGATACAAAACTTCGGTTTTACTTGAGAAACGAACGAGACCTGTGTCAGTGAAGCTGCGCTCGGCTCTAGAGAGAAACTGAGAAAACATCTAAGAAAAACTCTGTTCCATATTTCTGGTTCAGTAGTGTAAGAGAGAATTGAGTTGTGTTAGCCTCTGTGTAGGCTTTGAAGGAGATTTACGAGGGAATCAGCCAGATTGAGCTGTTCTGGCAGTTGCACGAAGTGTGACAGGTGTGCGCAGTTGGACCTTGCGGCACCGTTGTTAGAGCGAGCACACTGTGTGTGAGGACTCGTGGGGACGTTTAACAAGAGATTTGCGTACTGTGTTTTGAGAGCGCCGAGGGCCTCTAGCGTGACGAGTTTGGGATTCAGGCTTAGCGAACTAAGAGAAAAGGCAAAGGCATGTGCAGTAGAACCTAGCGGCACTTTGTACTTAGCGAGCTCACTGAACGAATTCGGTCACTTTGCGGATCTGTGTATCCGTGTGTATTTTCTATTGAAATATCACTTGCCTTGAGGGTTGCATGGTTCGCCGTGCTCTCTTGTAAAAAGCTCCGAGGAGATAGCGAAATTGAGATTTGCTTGACAATTGTATGCAGTCGCGTTGCATTAGTTAGCAAGCTCGCTAAGATATTTTGAGATACTGTCAGGGCGCAAGTAGAATTAAATTCCTTGCTCCCTCCCGCACTTATAGAGATTGTGTGTGTGTGTGTGTTAGTGGGATTGAGTAGTAGTTTAGAGTGTTGTTCACGCTAGGCCGCACTTAGTTTCATGAGTGCCTGTAACCAGCCTCGTCAGCAGTCCCCATCCTCTCTACTTCCATCCAAGCGAGGGATGACTCATATGGTGGCGTCGATTACAAGGGCAAGGTGTTATGATTTTTCCATTTTCCTTATCTTATCTCTCGAGCGCCTATCTAATCACATCTTATCTTCGGCGCTCATCGTTTATCTACGGATACCGGACCGGACCGCGTCATGGTCACCATGTTTATATCAGATGACTTCAGTGCTATTACTACGGCTCGCGATACTTGCTCGCCTGACACGACTTCTCTTACGTTTGATGAACCGTTACCTTGCGGTAACCACGGACATTGATCTATTCTTAGTATACGACGTTTAGTATTTAAGTAGCATAGTTCTCGACTGTATATCCTTAGTCTCGAACTAAAGTTTATCTTACTTTGCCAATACCGCGATTAGCACCAATTGACTAAGCGCTAATACGAGTGATTGACCGAACGCGAGTCAGCTCTATTACGCCTTACGTTAATAAGGTCATGTGTCAGGCAGAGCCTAACAATTAGTTCGAGACTTCCTCTCCTCTTCCTCCGTATCCACTACGACCAAGAGGACCCCACCCCATGAATGAAGACCAGTACACCATCACCGTTACCACAGCAGTAGGAGGAGCTCTCTTACTTTCCCTTTTCATAGGACTACTAGTCCTAGCCTACGAAGACAACATCCGATGCTTTCTGGGCGCCTGACGACACCGCGCCCCTCGACAATACCCCTTCCTCCCAGCCGACTATGTTCCCCCATACTGTCGCAAGATGGGCACCAGACCCCGACGCCCCGCAACAGATACGCCGCGCCACGGGATTTGAGCACGGACGAGAACACGCTCGTCGACGCTCGATCCAACCTCCCGCCTCCCCCGCTCCCTCCTCGCCCGAGTTCCCTCCGCATAGGGAGGAACCGAGGCAACAGATCCCCCGAAGTCCAACGCCTGGCCCCAGCGGCAGCCAGGATGCTCGCCCAACCTCCGCCGAGGAACACGGCGCCATCCTTCGGGAATTCATACGAATTCCCAACCCAGCCCCACCCTACGAACACCTATACGAACCGCTCCCAAGACCAGGTGAGCGCCCCTTTCCCCGTCGCCCCGAGCGGATACTCGTGGCAGCAGCACCACGTCCCCGGGTACCAGATGCCCGTCCTCGTCCCCAACACGGAGACCCGTTCCCCAGCTGGGCGTATGTCCCGCCCCACCTCCGACAATCGTTCGTCCCAACGGGAAGGTTCCCGTCAGATGACTCATCCAGCGACGCTGGTTCCCTGGACGGTCTCACAGAGCTCTTCGAGCAGCGAGACTGAGACGATCAGGTCGCCCTCGCCCGGGAGCGAGAGCAGCCACTATCAGACTCCTTGACTGTTGTCGAGGTCCCTATCTCTGAGCTCCCTGCCCCCCGAAACCGAAACGATCCCCTCAATGAATTCGGAGGGGATTACGACTGGCCCAGTCTGGCCGACATCGACCGAGAACTACTCGGTCCCGAGCGATCCGCAGCGTGGGAGATCCGACGATGAGACGTCGAACTCCGGGCCAACCCCCAGCTCATACCTCGACCCACGATGGATCGATACCTCGCCCGCTAGCGAAACCATCGTGTGGCCCAGGAACCGCTCTCCCCCGAGGCCTTCGAGGCCCGCATTCTCGCCAACCGAGAACGCACGATACACCCGCCCGAAGCAGGGCAAAGAATATCCGGTCTATGACCACGAACGATCGAGGAGCAACTTGCCCTCGCAATCGCCCTCCTCCCTCTCGCTAGGCAGCTGGGAGATTGACCCGACCTGGACAGTCCCCACCAGGTTTGAAGACGAGTTCGGGGGATTATTCGGCAACTACACCGCCAACTCCCAAGGCAGGGACACTTTTAGCGTCTCACCTCCCTGCCTCCCCGACTCTCCCCCGCGCAATGCCTTCGGCCGGCCAATGGCTCCCAGAGCACCCGGCAACCCCCGGTACCCCGCGACATACCGCGGGCCAAGAACGGCGTTCCTCATGGCAGGAGGGGATGCCAACAACGACGTTCCTATTGACGTCGAACAAGGTGGGTCGAACCAGCCACCACAACCCAGTGCCGCAGAGAGGAAAGAGGAGGCACGAGTAAAGTCCGCGGAGAAGCAGATGCGGGCAAGACAGCTGCAGGCAGAGTACGAGGCCGCCCAGAACGAGGCCATAGGCTTTGACAAGATCTGGGGCTTCCATGCACCTCCCCCCGACCCCGACGACGACGACGATCCCGACGATCCCAACGGGAAAAGACCCGCCCGAGGACGACCTTTCGTCCCAAATCCCCAAAGGCCGCTTCACGAACGAAGCGATCGCTTCTCGATCCCGTGCCCTCCCCCTGGCAAAGGGAGGAAGTTCCCTCAGCCACAACCGGTCGGCACCGCCCCACCAGACGCCGCCTACCTCGGGATCAAACCCATCATGATCCAGACCCCCAAGTCGTTCAAGGGGGCGCACGACGACATTGAACGGTTCATCGGCGACTGCCTTGCCTACTTCGAGGCTTTCGCCTCCTATTTCCTCCACGACTCCCAGTACGTCACTTTCACCGCCTCCCTCTTCGACGGCGCAGCCAAAGACTGGTGGGTCTATAAGCGCCCAGAGTTCTGGGCCAGCAACATGCACCCCGCACAGTTTCGGTACCCTACATGGGCCAAATTTGTTGGACTTGTCGAGGAACGCTTCCGGGATCCCGCCTCCGAGGCAATCCACGAACGGAAGATGTTCGAGCTGAGGATGGGCAAG